CATCTGGTCTCTTCCAACTTCTTATGAACACATGAAGCCGATCTTGATTCATGGGAAGGAGAAAATTATATTTTCTGAAGTCACTGGTAAACTTCTTGCGGAAGAGAGAATGCTAGATGGTGGACGAAACAATTCACCGGAAGGTCAAGTCATGCTCGTCGGTGACGGAAAGAAGAGGAACTCCAGAAAAAAAAACAAGTTGTGATTTGCTGGACATGTGGACAATCTGGGCACGTGAAAAGAAATTGTCCGAAAGGAGGAGCAGGTTCGGCAAAAAGCTCCAATTCGGTAAGTGGAGATACCGAAGAAGCTAATTTTGTCTCTCTCTCCATGGATGAGTTTTGCTAAGAGAGAAAGGGGAGTCCTTATGGCGTGTCGCTAAGTGTCATGAAAGAGGACGTGTTACAATTAGCGAGTCCACAGTTTACACGCAGGCATTGGTTTGGCGGTGATGCAAGGTGTGTGGTGGAAAAGCGTGTCGAGGGCTGATGAACTTTCAGGAAAGACAAACGTGAAAGTTGCACCATAAATTTCAGCAAAGTTATTTCGACATGGGCCGAAGAAATGCTTGGATGCGAGTCCGAGTGGATATGCTTTTATGGTGGAGCATGATAACGAAAGCTATGAAAAATTTCATCAAAGTGAATAGTGGCTGTCAAATGGGTCAAAATCGCAAGGTGGAGTTTGTTATGTTTTTGCTCTTTTGTCCCACATCGGAAGTGGGATGAGAGAGGAGGGGAGTTTTCCCCTATATAAGAAAGTGCTACTTCTTATGTAAAATCATCCCACAGAGTTATTGTGTTAACAATTAATCTCTGGTTAAAAATTCCTTAGGGTGAGAGTTAAGGTTAACAGATAGAAAATTCTGTGGGGTAATTTTGGGTATAAGTGAGTGTAGAAAAATTGTATATTTTTTACATAGTGGATTTTCTACGGCCTTGTTGCCCTGGTGGTTTTTCCCTCTTCGTTAACAGAGGGTTTTCCACGTTAAACTTTGTGTTCTCCAGTTTTATTATTTCCAGCGGATCTTGGCGGAGTTTCGGTGTGGTCGGAATTCCCAGCAATTTGTTGTATATAGAAGGTTGACTCCACTATGGAGCCAAATGTTGGCTTCATAGCAAAACCGTCATAATGGAGCCAACTTTCTATATACAACAAATAAACTTACCATATTCTTTGATTACTTAAATAACACTAATACTCCCTCCTATCTTTAATAAGTGTCGTTTTGAGAAGTTGCACAGTTATTAAGAATATTTTTTTTGCCAATAATAACCCTCATTAATGAGGATAGAGATGAATGTTTTGAAATAAGATAAATAGTGAATATGAAAAGATGTAATGTATTTGTTATCTAAATGAGGGTAATTATGGAAAAATATGTACAAAATATTTAAAACGACATTTATTTTGTTAATAGTTGATAGTGTCAAAATGACATTTAAAAAGAATATGAGGTAGTATAATTTTATTAATATGATAAATTTACTTGTTGTATATAGAAGGTTGGCTCTACTATAGAGCCAAGTGTT